GGAAATAATTGAAAACTTATCTATATCAATCAGGGCTGCATGAATACGTGTGTGTGTGTGTTTCCAATCCTGTGCTCTGAGAGCGAGATAGTGTGAGTATCGCGTCGCATCAAGTCTCATCATATTGCCTTTTCAGTTCGGTGGCGAGTTGGTGCCCCAAGTGAAGGACCTTGTGTAGTTTAAGGTCCACTTTCTTGACATCAACCACTTTGTATGAGCAGGATGTCGGCAGCGTAACGGCAGCACGTCCGTCTGTCAGCTGGTTACGTTGAGCTGGAGAGACGCGGCAGCTGTGGAGCTTTTGTGACGTGAACCGTAATCCAAAGAGCGGAGACCATCATTTTTCACGTGTAACTGATGTCCTTCCCTACCGGCACAAAAAAAAGTACTGGGATTTTGGGGGGAAACTTAATGCTTGACTTACTTCTACATCAAAAGGAGATTTGGGCTTTTCTTGGTGCTGCTGAACCGTAAACATCCCTTTTTCAGTTGTTTCTCCTCACATTTGGATCTACTCTGCCATTTCAAACCGTACGGAAGAGGGAACAGTTTTCAGTGGCGACTGGGAGATACACAACTCCAGTAGCAGGGAGATTTCTGGATATAACACATTAATTATGTAACAAGCTCTGTGTTATGCTAATAATTAGCTCATCTTAAGACACCGGGTCAAACACTGGTATAAGCTTTAACACATCTCCTGAACTGAACAATGCAGCGCGGCGAAGCTCTGACTGTGATTGAGGAAGAGTCAGGAAGAGTTACAACCCCCGTCCAGACAGCGTTGTTTCCCTCGTATCTCTGATTAAAACATTAATCAGGCCCAAACCTGCAGCCGTCTGTGGCATTGATTAAACCATCTAGTTAGGATACAGATGGACCGGCGGAACATGGACGCTGATGTTGCATTACATCTACACGGGAAACAGCGGGCAGTAATGTTGGATGAGATATCTGTTGTTCAGTAGGTTCACATCAGCACATTCCGCACTGAGACAAGTGTCTTCTACGTCTATTTGTTCCTGTTGGTCCGCGGGTGTCCGGCTTTTTCTGCAGATATCGCAGTCCCCAAACTTTTGAGCTGAAGGATGTTTTGCTTCCTTTCGGCGACAGAAGCCTCAGTGAGGTTGCGATATATAAAGGTCTGGTGTACCAACCAATCCAGATGTTTTGATGGGGGTTGAGGTCGGGGCGGAAGTCTCGGCCAGCCGAGGTCTTCCACGCACCTTTCGTCACGGGGGAACTGTGATTTTGAAGAGCCAAAGCTGTAGCATTAACAACCCTCTTAACTGGAACAAATGGCGCGTTTCCACCGTACGGTACGGGTCGGGTCGGTACGGGTCGGGTCTGTTAACCATGATTTGGCGAGCGTTTCCACCGCCAACAGTACGAGAAAGTAGTGATAACGTCACTTGATAGGCGTGGTGCATGACGGAAAGTAGATGGACGTCATTCGATCGCGCGAAAACTGAAAGCTAACCGCAAACCGCAACGGAGGACGTACAGACGATCCTGTTCTTGCTTCTCGATATGTGGCTGTTTGTCACAAGGAGACGACGATCTTTGTTTGAGCAAAGGCTACATGCTGCAAGCGTGTTACATGTGTTGTCTTTCCCCTTGTTGCACGCGCAAATGACATCACTCTTTCAACCAATCAACACTGTGCGGTGCGTCTAGCTCCGCCCTTCAGTACCAAACACCTGTGCCAGGTACCCCAACGGAAGGGTACCCAAAAAGTGGTTCGGTACGGTTCGGATTTTTGGTACCATTCTTAACTTTTGGCAGTGGAGACACAAATAAAAGGGTACCGACCCGTAACGTACCGTACCGCTCGGTGGAAACGCGCCATAAGAGTCCTGAAACCTTAAACATATGGCGTTATATTTGTGCCACAATCCTGAGCGCGTATTTTTAAGTTTTGAGCACAGAGAACTATATTTTAGCAAAGAATATTTTAGCAAAGAATATTTTATCAAAGAATATTTTAGCGCTCGCTCGACTTGCAGCAGCGTTACATTTGTGCCACAAAACCAACCAATCACAATTGACCTTCTTTAATTCTCTGATTGGTTGGTTTTGTGGCACAAATGTAACGCTGCTGCAAGTCGCGCGAGCGCGTGAGTGAAACGTCGAGCGGGCGCAGCGTGAAGAGGTGGAGCGAGTGCAGCAACGGCTGCCTGCGCGCAGAAAACCAGTTTGTGGCGAGGGCACCTCAGTAAACTGCGCCCACGGAATACGTTTTTCTTTGCTAAAATATAGTTCTCTGTGCTCAAAACTTAGTCACTAACTTGATTAGATATGGAACAAAAATAAACAATATTCCACATCTGCGGTGTTTTTGTGCACAGAATATGGACTACATTGTTTGTACAACTCTAGTTTCCAACCCACAAACACAACAAACACTGACATGTGTTTTCAGGCTTACAGATGTGATGGTCCTATTGTTCTTGCCCCCCCGCAGAGCGGACACACGGTTTAACGGCAGCCGTAGCAGCAGGCAGCCGCTCGTCGTGTCGTGAAAGCCTTTATTGTGCAGGAGTGCATCCAAAGTCTGCAAACGGAACATTACGGCAACGCTTCCCACTCATCTCACTGGCCTTCAGCGCTCGCAGCTGCTCCTGCGGTTGAACCGCGCTCTGCGGGGCGTCGCTCACCACGCCACTGCTCCGTTGTTCGCCAGCGCTCTCGTTTTCCTGCCGGCGGTTTGTGCGTCCGTCTGTCCGGCTGAAACGGCCGCCTGGAAAGTCGCATCTAAAGCGTCCTTTGAAAACCGAAGAGCTAAATATCATCGTTATCCAGTTGTGGTTGTGGAGCGCTGCTTGTTTACGGCAAAGTTAATTAGCCGTTTTATAGCTGATTTACAGCCGGACAGGCGGACAGAGAAGATGGCCGCTGCCTCGTCCTTGTTTCCCACTCAAGGACTTCTAAGAGGGGACGTTAAACACACAACGCAACACAATGCACCTGCACGCACACGATGTAGTCTGTTTGAATTGAACATTTGCATTCGTTTGCATGTGCGCATACACGTTGTTCAGGCTCTAAAAGCGGAATGTTACTTCCTCTTTTGTGTCCCAACATAATTCTAACGTCAGGACTGATTTATCGGGCCGCATCACACAGACACACACGAACGTGACCCGGCTCACCTTGAGCTGTTTGTCTGATCTCACTAGCAGAGGAGCAGTGGCTCCAGGGGACAAAGAGCTGAGAGAACGCCTCGTCCGACCCAAACTCACACATGGATGCACCCAAACAAATCCCCGGTTGTGAGTACAGCCACGTGCTTACGAAAGATATTTTAGTCAACAAAAACTAATACCGCACAAAACACCTTTTTTCTGAACTCCACTCAGAAATGGTGCAACAACGAAGCAACATGCGCCGCAGCTCTCAGGGTCTACAAATGTTTAAAAGGGCCACATTATCTCATCTAAAGCTGACGGAGACACACACACACACACACACACACACACACCTTCTCACCTGCGCTCTGACAAACCCGAGCCGACACCGGCAGGAGGCTGAGAGCGACGCCGGCGAGCACGCGGCTGTCATCCGGGGCTAACGTTAGCGCAGCGGTGACGGGTAACAAGAGAAGACATCACGTTAGCCGGCGCGCTAGCTGATGTGGCTACAGGTGTGGTGTTCGCTCACGCTTAAAGAGTCTTGACACCGGCAAGCGAGCAGCACGGCAGAACACGAGCACCTGACGTCTGGTTACGTGTCAACCGGCAGCCCTTTCTTTTTTCCTCTTCTTTCTCACGCCAACTTTTCAGCCTTGTTTCCTTTTTTTTTGTTGCATGTAATCCGAGTCGTGACTCGTAATCATTCGCACAAATTGTCCCGTATCGCTGCGTCACAGGTGCCTCTCAAAGTGACAAACGCTTCTGTTGCATTCGAACTCTGCTTGACCCACATTTCCCTCTGAGCTGTATCCCCTCGTCCTTCCCTCCCGTCCTCTGCTTTGGACACTTTGGTTGGATCTTCCCACACGGAGGTTCGTTTCACGTGTTCCACTTTAGCAGAAAACCCTGACGGGTGATAAACAAACCAAAGTTTTCCCCTCCTGTAAGGGTCACAATCTGCTGCCCAGATTCCCCCGCTCTGTCTTCCCGGCACTGGTTTAACCAGAAGTTGTGCGATGTGTGTGTGTGTGTGTGTGTGTAGTAGTGCCGGCTGCACCGGGCGGATCCTCCACCCGAACAACAAGCAACATACTGACGATTAGAAGCTTGGCGCGTAATCGGCCAGAAATGAGTTTGTTTTGCCTGAAACAGGTGGCCGCCCCCCGAGCTAAATGTAGCAACCAAACCACATTACCATGTCGGTGCTGGAGGGGAAAATGCCGGGAAAAGATGCTTTTGATGGAGAGGGGAGGGGAGATGAGGGCGCACATGCTGTTATTGCTCCTCGTGGCAATCCAGTTATAGAACCAAAACCTTTTTGTTGCCGTTGCTGTGCCTGTTTGTGTGCGAGTGTCCTCTTGTGCGCTCGTTCCCGTTATGGTTTTGTGTGTTTGTGTGTTTCTTTATGTTTGGACCTCCTGCTGATGACGAGCCTCGCCGGCTGCCTTTGTTCATCTGACACTGTCTCAGTAATGGAGGTTTGCATCGCGCTCCTACAGCATCGTCAGCCTCTCGTCTGACTCGGTCCAATCCCCCACCGCCTGTCTCTCCCCGTTGCTCCTCTTCTATCAACCGCTTTGATCTCTGCTCCCCCACCACCTCACCCGCCTCCTTTCATCCCTTTTCTCTTGTCTTTCTCTGCTTTCGCTCCTTTGCTTTACTTTGCCCCCCCACCTTTATTCCCTCACGCTCTTTTCCATCGGACATTGGATGTAACCTGGCACCCAGATGGGTGTGAGCAACTCTCCCTTTGTTCCCTACCTACTATGCAACTTTTGTAAATTCAAAACTGTTGTCAGTCAAATATTTTTCTCAGGCGAACACGTTGAACAACCCCCCCCCCCTCTTTCTTTATTTCTGTGTCTGCAGCAGCTGATGAGAGAGCGCCAGCAGATGGCCAGTCGTCCCTTCGCCTCGGTGAACGTAGCGCTGGAGGCGGGCGGCGACCAGGAGGAGCTTTCACAGGTTAGCAAAAAGACACAAACACGTGCGCGCGCTGAGCCCAACACAAGCCGAGGGAGCTCGTGTACATATCCACGCGATGATGCGCATGCTGCTTTCTGACCCCGTGGCCCTCTGCGCCGTATGGTGCTGTGGACTTGTGGGTTGTGTGGGTGTTTTGTGGGCACACAACAGAAGGCGGACTCTGTCAACAGGCTGGCGCTGCTCGTGCAACAAGCTGCTCTGAGAAAAAGTTGCATTCAGGGAAACTTTATCTTTATCTAAATATCGTGCAGAGGTTGGAAGAAATGCTTTTACAGGGTTTGACAACCCGTGTGGGCGGAAAAAAAAAATCGATGTGAAATTCAATTTGCTTTCCCTTGAAAAGTAAAAGTCTGCTGTGATTGGACGTGAGAAGAGTTGCGATGCCTCATTCTGTTCCGTTCGCAGCCTCCCCACAATGCACTGCACAGCCCAGTCACAGCCCAGTTGACCAATTTACCGATTGGTCAACAAACACAGGGCGGTTGCTGCGGTTACCGACCGGCGATGACGACATTCAGCACAAATCACCGGTGGCCCTTAACGAATCGCAGCGGTTTTCCAGCAGAGCTCCTCTGGTGAATAAAATAAGTGCTCCTCGTTTGGTTGGTAAACTTTAACTTTGTACAGTTACAGTTCAGTCGTTAGGGGATGGAGGAGAGCAATGTTGTTACACACACCATGAAGCAGCTAAATGGAACACTCATGTGTCTGACCTTGCCTTTGTGTAACTCATTTCAACCTATTAATAATCCCGATAGAAGCAATGCATCGTGGGGAAGTGGCCTCCCGCAGCGGCGGGTGGTGGCAGATGTTGCAGAAGATTGACTTGAGCACAAGAGGCCGACGGGTCAGAATGAAAGGCGACAGAAAACAATCAGCCTCATCAATCACGCCACATGCCGACAAGTGTGCACGGCTCCATGATTCATATTTTGGGTTCATCAACAGCCAGACAGACTTAAATATGGACACATTCGCTTTTTCGGGAGGAGGATCTGGATGATAATGTTGTGACTGCCCCTCTTTCAGTATCCTTTGAGGTTCCATCTCTCCACACACTTTGGTTACAGAGACAATGGGATGGACGTCTATACTAGACTAGACTATTAATTAGTTTTAGCTCCGTTTTTGACCAGGTCGAACTCGGCTCAGTTCGGTTTACGCCGAAAAAGCCCCCCGGAGTACCTCCCCCCCCCCCCCCCGTCCGCGCTGGGGGCCGGGTTCCCTTTCATTTCTGAAGGGGAGAGACAATAGGGCAGAACGCTATCTTCACACAGAGGGTAATTACACAACATCTGGTTTAATACCAAGCATGCAGCTTAGCAATATTGTGTAAATGATGAGGGAAAAGGAGAATTTCCATGCTGCCCCCTGTCCCCCCCCCTCCTCCCCCACCACAAATATATTATGTGGTCCCGCTTACCCAGAGAAGCTAAATCTTAATACAACAAAAGGAGCATCATCCACCCCATTTCTTGTGACTCATGACGGGGGGCAGGGACACAGAAAACTGTTGTTTCCACGCACACACACACACACACACACACACACACACACACACACACACACACACACACACACACGCGCAGTGATTTGGTTTACATGGGGGGGGTGAAGTAGAAGATGGAGATATAATTGCATGGAAAGGAGGGTGCTGTGATTAATGGAGGATTCATGCATGCGGAATGTTGTGTTATTTATTCATAAATTGTGCAGACAGTCTGTCTCCTATTACCTTTCTATCTTATGTCCTTTCGCCAAATTAAAAACACTTCCACTTCCCTCCTTTCCTTTTCTACACACATCACAACAATTTCATTGGAAATCGTGCAAACTATTTGCACATTAACACCAAGAAAGAACAGACAAGGAGAAGGAATGAAAAACATCATATTTACGTAGATAAAGATCTAATAGATATCGATGTATATTTACGGGCTGAGCGTCTCCTTTCACAGCAGCAGACACGTTCATGGTCAGACGCTGTGAGTTCGGGCGGGTCTGTGTGGCGTCCTTACGGTCCCAAGGACACATGAAAGATGAGCCTGGATTGCGTCCCGGGGGGGTTTTTGCGTCAGAGACACGTTTTCTATCCTGCGAAGGCTCGTGATTACAGGTTCTTTTTAGGGTTCAGGGTTCTTCTCGCGTTTCTAATTGAAGAAAGCGGTCGTGTGGGGAGGTTTATTTTTTACAATGATACTGACCGGATGAAGGTTCCCATGGCAACGCGTCTGGGACGGGTACATTTGCTGCAGGTAAATGTGCCGTAATGTTCCCACAGTTAAACAAACAAGTCTGACCTTTTCTAACTTCAGCAAACTTGTTATTTTTTGATTAATCCTGTTTTGCTGCTTCTATACAACTTAAGAGTCATTATTATATATTCAGCTGAGTTGTATTGGACTCTGTTTGACTGAAAGCTTTGAATGCATTTTTTACAATTGAGATATTTGTTTGTGTGTGAATGGATGATTTGATTTGCTTATTATTCATAAGCCCTTGTCAGTTAATGGGTTTTTTAATATGCAGCCGTTTTTTCACTTGATGGAATCCAAAACTAAAAAGTTCCGATATATGACGACAGAATTGAGGTGATGAGTGAGATGACCAAACTTAATCTGGGGATCACTTGTAATCTGTGTAAACCTTCCAGTACAGTTTTAGTCTTCGTCTCCTTTCACGTTTTTAAGACTTCAGTTGACCTGCCGTGCATTTAAAGAGGGCCATGAGCACCGTTTTCCCACCTCGACTAACAATCAACTCCACTTACTCATCACCTCTTTGGGTTAAAAGGAGATCGCGACACCGCCGCACCACAAGCGCGTGAGATAGCAGTCAAAGCCACCCGGTCACGAGGTGCGCGGATCCCGTCCCCCCCCCCCCCGGCGTGATGAGGGCTTTACTGCGCGCCGTGGCTGCGTTACACAACAGAGGCGTAGTCATCAGCGTAAATCGATGTTTCCACCGCCGCCATAAAGCATCGCCGTTAACGCCGCGGAGCTGATGAGCCCGCGGCAACTAGCATCTGCACGCCTCCGCCCCGGGCCCGGGAGCCGCTCCCACCTCGCCGCTGATTAACGGCCGTCTCCTGTTTCCGTAATGCTGCTTAAAGCAAAGATGAATCAATTTCATGTCTCGCGTTTTAATATGGCGCGTTTATTCTTCAATTGGAGGGATTTAATGTGCCTCGGGAAGGAGGGCTGGTGGGTGGAGACGGATGGATGGACGGACGGAAGGGGAGAGAAGCAGATAAAGGGTATCTGTGACACCTGGGAATAATGTATGTTTGGTAGAAAATACACAGCTAAGTACTGATTTACCCACATTTCACACACACACACAAACACACACTCCACTGCAGGGCTTATCAGATCACACTAAAGCTTTTATGAAGCTGAGATATGGTGCAAACACACACGCGTTTGCATTCTGCACGGACAGTTGCACGTACGCCGCTTCGGTCGACTTCACCTGTGGCTCCTGCAGAGTGTCTCACACGCGTGTTATTAACTCAATAACTCACACGCCCGTCAGCACTAACAAGGCTAAAACAAAGGCATCGCTCTTTGTGGTCCGTCTGCGCCTTAACAAAAAGGCTGCTCTCTCTCTCTCCCTCTCCTGCTCTTCATCATCGGGGAGATTACAAAGCAAATGTGCAACACACACACACACACACACACACACACACGGTAGAAGCAGCTGGAGGAGAAGCACCTTCAGCACCTTTCAGGCGAGCAAACGTACCGACGGTCTTCAACCACGTTCACTCTGACCCTGTTTCAGTGGAGGAACTGTGACGACTGAAGACGGTCCGAACAGAAGCAGCGTGTTTTCTCTCTCTGTTTGAGGGCGTGAAGCACCTCGGTAGCACAACATGTTCTGAGTGAACGGGTCTGAAAGCTTTGCAGCCCACAGGTTCAAAACCGAATGAGGATTTGAAAGCTATGCTAATGGTAGCAATGGTCACCGTGGAAACGAGGCGGCACGCGACCGATTCAATTTGTTCAAATGGACGTAACTTCCTAGTACCAGACTACATATCTGTATAAAAGCTGGGAGAGAGATCTTTGTCTGAAGTAAAATCAGAGCTTTATCAGCACGCAGAAGTATATAAACACATTCATCACTCAGCTGATCGTCATCTGGATGATTGAGAGTCAATCCAGGCGGGTTGTTCTATCAGAGCAGAGTTGTCCCGCGTGGCGTTACAGCACATGTCAACCGTCAAGATTAACGTTAAACAAGGATACTTTTAATATAGTATGAAAGAAATAGTCAAAAATCAGTTTGCATAATGAATTAGAATACATATCTGGGTAAAGATATTGCCCTAGAAACTACTAATAAAGAGAAAATACATTTAAAAGTAGAGAAATAGAATATAGTCGTACTATTTGGGCCCAGGAGAAATACTGTACACATCAAAGGATGCACAGCCCATTGTGCAACGTGTCCTTTTTATTGTATGGAAGGTTGTACTTTTACCTCCTCTCCTTGTTCGCCTGCAGAGGAGACAGCGAGGAAGTTGACCTTTCACAACGGGGTCGCGCGGCATCCACGTCCCTCCCTGCACGCTGGACGTTAGGCTGCTTATTGTCCTCCTTTTCCAACAGGAACTTTTTCTCTTTCTTCTCTCTTGTTTTTTACCTCTTTCTTTCGCACTTTAGTCCTCTTCCTTATTGTTCCATCCGCCGCCCTCCCTCCCTTACCCCCATTCGGCCTCCCTGTCCAACATGTAGTTTAGTGCCAGTTTCAGGTTCAGCTGAGCAAGCAGGCGGGCCCATTAAGGCCTGAACACTCAGTGAATACTGTGTGTGTGTGTGTGTGTGTGTGTGTGTGTGTGTGTGCATTGGAATACCTTCTCTGTGGGCGGAGCAGACGTAGGCATCACTGCTGGTAAGAGGGGAAGGTGTAATGTGTGCACGTCTGTGCCTTAAACAGGGCCCATACACCCAGATAACACTGATCAGAGATGAAGT